ATGAATATTCCATAGCACAATGGACAATAGGAGACTTGAACATTTCTGAATACCAAAATTGAATAAATTGTTCCTTAAGTTTCTGTTCAACACATTAATTCCTGCAAGCCTTATTGACAAAAAGTCAGTTAGGTTCAGCTTAATATTTGACATACCAAAATCAAGCCTTTCGTTTGTTTTGTATGCATTGTTTTAACGTTGTCACGGGGAGATTATGTGCAGTCATAAATCTTGTATTTTATACTGAAATAAAATATAACTTTTGGAATACCTCGGCCAATCAAAATCACGAAATCGAATGAACATTCCAGTTTATGTACTGTAATTATTTATTAAAATTTAAGACTTCTAGAAGTCAACTTACGGCCTTCAACACGATAGTAGCCTAAGCATTTTGTCAAACTAGATTAAACAAAATCTGTGTAAATAAAACGAATTATCTTAAACCAATTCTGCCATCAGCTAGGAATGCCTTTACTGAAGAAAGCCAACCTTTCATATATGTTTGACCAAGATTTACGAGTTTGACTGAAAGTTGACACATGAATAAAAATTTATCGTTGTCGGTCGGAGTATTACATTACATTACATATAAAAAAAAAAACATTACATTTGTGCGCAGCTTTTTACTACATTTGCACGTATTCTTTTTGCAGGTAAATACGGGTAAATTATATTTACTTTCATATAAAATCTAAAATTCCAATTTAAGCATACTATCGATTTAAAGTGATAAAAGCACTGATCTTACATGACCTTAATTGTGCTGAATATTTGAAGCCAACAATTTTGTACTCTTTTTCATCCTTTTAATTTTTTATGTTTTTACTTTTTTCATATATATTTTGCATTTTGTAGGCATTCGAGAAATATTTATTTTATAAAAAGGCAGACTCGAATCGGATGCCGATGCCAACTTTTCACTTACAGTACGGATCGACTTGTCTTTAAGCGGCACTCTATCATTAAAATTGAATTAGAAAAAATCACACGTCAGCTGAATTTTTTTCTTCGTGGGAGATGTGAATTATAGAAATATTTCCAAATACTAATTTAACAAATCAAATTTTATGCTGATGTGTAACACTTTTAATTACGGTATATGTTCATTAATATTTTTATTAGTCGAGATTTAAGTAAATAACCTCAGCTCGATATTTATTTTGTTCATAACTTAAAGGTATTACTAATCTCGTTTGTTTATCAAACATTTATTCACCTGTTGAGTAAATATGAGTTGTCATGGTTAAATTTTTTTAATTATCTTTACATTCTTAGATTCCGTTTTTGGGACAAAAAAATCATGTTAACGCGATTTTGGTCAGAGCAACTTTTAGGTACTAGTATATATATATATCTACAAACAACTAAATCTCTAATTCAAAAGACCATAACATTTCCTTTTCATTTTTTAAGACTCTGTCAATTTGAATGTTATTCCTTTCTGAAATTCATAGTGTGTAATCTGTCATATTGATCACATTTACGAGTTTGAATGACGTTAAAACATTATTTAAAAATAATTGAATTTTTTCTATAATTTTTTTTTTCTTTACATATATAATTTAGATTTTTGTAAGCATTCGAGGAATTTATATTTTATCAAAGGAAGACACCAATGGATTCCGACACACACTTTTTAAAAACAGTACTGGTCTACTTGTCATTTGTCCAATGTGGTATATTATCATTAAAATTAAATCAAAAGCATAGTATTTCAACCAATTAATTTTGTCCTAGTGGGAGCTGTGAATGTTTGATTTTTAGTTAATTATAGTAGTATTTCCAAATATTTATTTTACAAATAAAAATCTAACGCTTACGTGTAACGTTTTTAATTACAGTATATACATGTATTCGACTATTAGTCCAGATTTAATTTAGTAAATGACCTCAGCTCGATATTTATTTTGTTAATTATATTTTAATCTGTCGTATCTTTTTCAAACATTTATTTATCTGACGAACAAATATGAGTAATTATGGTTATTTGTTTCATATTTATTGTAGCTTCAGTTTATTTGGACGAAAAATTATTTTATCGCGATTGATTCTAGGCAGTTAAAAAGAACGAATTGACTGTCTTATGCCTATAAGAGTACATGTAATCTCTGATATACAGAAAGTAGTTTACTTTAGGGACTTTTAATAGACATTTTCAGTGCAATGATAAAACAATTTGGCATACTTAGTTACAATTTATTCTCTTTATTGTTCATGTTATTATATCTGCAGTTTATTTGACGATTGTTAACAAAGTCTCGAAGAATTTCTTTTTTCTTGAAATATCTAATAGTTTTTTTGTGATTATCTTATTTCACATGACATTTTTAAGTTGTGTTTATAAATAATAAACTTAAATTAGTTCATGTCATCTTAATTTAACTATCATAACGAATGTATGTACGTATGATTGTGTGTATGCATGTGTGTGTGTGTTTTTGTAACTATGTATGTATGTTTTTATAACTATGTATGAATGTGTTTGTAATTATGTATGTAAATGTTTGTAACTATTTATGAATGTTTTTATAACTATGTATGAATGTGTTTGTAATTATGTATGTATGTGTTTGTAACTATTTATGAATGTTTTTATAACTATGTATGAATGTGTTTGTAATTATGTATGTATGTGTTTGTAACTATGTATGTATGTTTTTATAACTATGTATGTATGTGTTTGTAACTATGTATGTATGTGTTTGTAACTATTTATGAATGTTTTTATAACTATGTATGAATGTGTTTGTAATTATGTATGTATGTGTTTGTAACTATTTATGAATGTTTTTATAACTATGTATGAATGTTTTTGTAACTATTTATGAATGTTTTTGTAACTATGTATGTATGTTTTTATAACTATGTATGTATGTGTTTGTAACTATGTATGTATGTGTTTGTAACTATGTATGTATGGGTTTGTAACTATGTATGAATGTTTTTGTAACTATACTAAATAAGAAGATGTGGTTTGAGTATCAATGAGAAAACTCTCAATCACAGTCACAATGTATAAAAAGTTTAAAATTATCGGTCAAAGTATGGCCTTCAACACGGAGCCTTGGTTCACACCGAAGAGTAAGCTATAAAGGGCTCCAAAATAACTAGTGTAAAACAATTCAAACAGGAAAACCAACGGTCTAATCTATATAAAAAACGAGAAATAAGAAACACCTATGACCACACCAACAAACGACAACTACTGAACAACAGGCTCCTGACTTAGGATAGGTGCATAAAAGACTTGCACTTGCATAAAAGATATGTATGAATGTGTATATAAAAATAAGAAGATGTGGTATAATTGCTAATGAGACAACTCTCCACCAGAGACCACATGACATAGAAGTTAAAAACTATAGGTCACCGTACGACCTTCAACAATTAGCAATACCCATACAGCTATAAAAGGCCCCGAAATGACAAATCATTTGAAAAGAGCCTAATTTCATCAGATCGATACAAAGCAGAAAAACAAGTAACAAAAACACAGACCGGGCGTGGCAGGGTATTTATACGTCCCCATAACTAAAAAGACACTAAGTACAGATCTGAGAGAACTCGCAGTTACTGACAGCTAATTCAAATGTATGTATTCGTGTGTGTGGGTATCGGGTATGAATCTAATAATATGGATACATTGTGTATTCTAGTATGCTTCTTTCCAAATTTATTACTAAACAAAAAATCAAAATTTATTAATCTGACGATCAATTTTAAAACACTATTTCCGTTTTCATTTATGATAATCATTTTGAGCTGTGTAAGGAAGCAAGATCTAAATTTTACTCGTACTTATCTATTTATCTATTTGTTGTATACATTGTTCTTTCCGAAAAGGATAAATGAAATGGAGGTGAGTAATCAATGGACACGCAACCTAAGTAACATGCATCAGACCGATAGTTTTCTCGTTTGAATTGTTTTACATTTGTCATTTCGAGGTCTTTTATAGCTGACTATGCGGTATGGGTTTTACTCATTTTTGAAGGCCGTACGGTGCCTATAGTTGTTACTTCTATGTCATTTGGTCTCTGGTGGAGAGTTGTCTCATTGGCAATCATACCACATCTTCTTATTTTTATGTAAAAAAAATAATATGACGTAAATCAATACGCGGACATGAAAAACCAAACGCAATTGAGGAACAGCGCTTTTGTTTCATTCATGTTTATTTTATAAAAATGAAAGGATGTAGTATGATTGACAATGAGACAACCGTCTATACCTGATTAAATGACGTGGATGTAAGCAATCGACTTAAAATCAACTTTTTTATGTTTTTTCTTATACACGTCAAAATCATCGGAAAACAGTATTTTTCCCTCAAATTGCACCGATTATAAGCTTGATTTTACTTCTTTTAGTTGCCTCTACTTGACTGAGTACCAGAATGTCATAGCACACGTGAGTAGGTAGCCTGTCGAAAAATTAGATATTCCAGTCAAACGTCGGTAATATGAAAAATGTCTATCAGAAGTCACCGTAAGACCTTCAACAATGAGGAAAAAACACAAACAACGTATAGTCAGCTATAAAAGACCTTGACCTGATGATTCAAACGCCAACACAAAAAATAATGTTGGATACATCATGTCTTCTCATTGTTATATCACCACTATTTTTTATTTGCATTGTGCCCTCTTGTACACGTTGTGTTTATCGTCAATAAAGCATCATAAATCTTGAATCTTGATCATGTTTGTCCAAATCTTAACAAATTACTATTAAGAAAGTACATTATCTGTGCATTCCCATAATGAGGAAAGATCTGAACTGTTTCATAAGGGAAATGGCAAAATTTGATAATTTACTTTAAACATGAGTCCAAAAGAAGCTGTCAGATTTTTTTAACGTAGAGTAATTTCAATTTTGATCCAAAATAAAAAATTAACAATTATGAGACAAAAATTAAAAAAGAATGTGAATTATATTAGTATATCACATGTACCTTTAATATACATTTTATCAAATATTTCTTTAGGCAAGAAGGCTAACTCATTATAAGAAAATTTAAAATAGACAAATAATCAAGTTTGTTTTCACATGTATGCAAATCCAAAATTAACATTCAAATCTAAATGCAAATTTGACTTTCAGGAGGAACAAACAGAATTAGTAGCATTTAGTACAAATTATCCGTAATGACCAAACATGCGTCATAACTGACCCATCATTTTTGTATAAAATCTACAGAAATTAGTACTTGACTTCAGTTTGGAATCCATTCTTACAACATAAAAATGCGTTTCCTAGTAATTCTTGTGACTGTTTGTGTGGCTGTTACTTTGAGTTCGCCAATAGAACTTGAGGAGAAACTACGCACACTTTTTGCTGGTGAAAAAGAACTAAGTTTGAAAGGCTTGGGAGTAGATACAAGAGGAACAGGAAGTTCATTGTCTACCTCAGATAGAGACTCAATTCTCCAGCTTCACAACGATGCTCGTAACAGTGTTCAACCATCGGCTTCTAACATGCAGCAAATGGTAAATACAAATATTAGTTTCAAAATTAATTTAATTTTTGTACTTGTCTTCTCTTCTCTTAAATCTCATGTAATCTTTTCTAGATGTTTTCTGCTAACAACGAAACAGCTTAAGATATTAAATTTTTTACAATTTAGCTGAACTATTTAATTTTCGAGTATATATTAAACATTCTTCCTTTGTTAATTTATGTATCATTGTCATTTTGCTTAGTTTCTTTTGTTACCTATTCTGACATCGGACTCGAACTTCTTTTACACAGAGTTTTACTGTGCGTATTGCTGTGTGTTTGTTTATACTACATTGGCTAGAGGTATAGGGGGAGGATTGAGATCTCACAAAACGTTTAACCTCGATTTTCTCGTTGTGTTGAAGACCTATTGGTGGCCTTCGGCTGTTTTCTGCTCTATGGTCGCGTTGTTGTCTCTTTGACACATTCCCCATTTCCATTCTCAATTTTATTAAATGTGTACTTTATAGTAAACTTCAATACCATTTCACTGTGATATATATCATTACCGATAAACATGTATTGATTCCTGAGGTTCCAGAAAAGTTGAAATTAAAAGAAAGAAAAAACCAACTGTTTTGGGTTAAAGTAGCTTGGGTGTCTTCATCCATCTTGGATTTTGAAATAGCAGATAACAATCGGTCTAGATCTTTAATGAAATGTGCAAATTTCGAAAGTAGTATGTAATTCATCTGTAAGACCTTTCATGTAAATATAGAAAAATATTTGTTTTGTCATATTTACGGCTGGATTTTACAAAAAACAGAATATTTTTGTTCGATTCATATTTTTTTTCAACTTTGCCACATAAGGGGAGATAACTCAGATATAAGGCAGATAACTCAGATATAGAAACTTTTATAATAGAATGTGTTGTGAATTTGCCTATTTTATTATGTAGAAAGATAACGAGTACGGTGACCCCATTTTTCTTTTTCTTATCTGAAAGCATATTATTAGAGCTATCTTCTCATATTTTATCTTAAAATTCTATGGTGTAGTTTTCTTTTTATCACATAAAATTGGGTTTTCCATGCATAAAAAAGTATGATATAAACTACATTTTGACAAATTATTAAAAAATTCTATGGATTTTAATTTAGACCCCCCATCTACCTTAAAAATTATAAGGATTAAACACATTTTTTCTAGGGGTTATTAATGTGTAAACTGGGTTGCTGACTCACAAACTTAACTTATAAGTACTTTGGACATTTATTCAGTTTGAGAGTTAATCGGCCAAGTTAACACATCAATAACCGCTAGAAAAAAAAGTATCGCACGTTTATATTACTACCACGTGGTCTTTACCGCTGCTTGTTGAATGTCAGTCCACGCGGATACAAAAAGTCAGTGCTTCAGTACACTTTGACTGCATAATCTTACTAAGGCTGAACTTCTCCAGTTGGCATTAGATGTTTTAAATTAGTATTTTTGGTTTTGGTGTTCATAAGTGTTTTATATTTTGACTTTTCAGTCTTGGTTTTAGTGGAATACCTGATTTAGATGACCACAGAACACATGTCATGCGCACAAAATTCGGGAACATATTAAATTACGACTGGAAATTGTTTATTGTGGTCCTATTTCTATATGATGTTTAATTGAAATAGGTAAATAACAAAGTTTGTTTTCACATGAATACTAATCCAAAAGTTACATTAAAATTTAAAATGCAAATTTAACTTTCAGGAGGAACAAACAGAATTAGTAGCATTAAGTAGAAATTAACACAGAACTATTTAAAATCCAAAACCTAATACTAACGTTAGGAAATGCTCAAACCAAAGAGGAACTCACTTTTAACTAAATGTTATCCCCACATTTTATTTTATTCATACTTGCACAAATTGTGCAATTCTTTATCTACACACATAAAAGCCTGATATAGGCATGTGTATACCAATAACTTCATTCCACCAGTATTTTCGTTGATTTTTTGATAATTTGTATTAAACATTGGTTGTTTTACCTTTAACATTTTCTCTGTAGACCTGGAGCAATGAATTAGCTTCTGTAGCTCAGACTTACGCTAATAAATGCGTCTGGAGTCACAACAGTGCAAGGTCATCACAGGCAAGCAGTTTCTACTACGTCGGTGAAAATATTTACGTTACAACAAGTAAGTCAATTATCATCGTACAAACGCTTATCCACTGTGTCTCGCACTTAAACTATTATTATGTCGACATTTTCAAAGTATAGTTGTATAAGAATTTATGACTATATCTCAAAATGAGAACGTTTTGGCATTTTTGAGTTAAACCAGAAAGCCAGAAGTTTCCAGCATTAAATCAAATATTAAAATATGAATACAAATATTTGACAAGCATATATCTTGTTAACATATTAAGAATATTGTTACTTGATAGTAAGATTTATATCACATTTTGATATTTATATTCAAGGGGTAAAATCGTCGCCTTATAATGATACATTCTTCTTTATTGAAAACTTATTTATGAAGGTATGTGACTTATCTGTCATATTTGAATCAATGCTTTTATTCATCAATCGGTAATCCAAAATTCAAAGACAGAACTTTATGAAATTAAAGTTTATGACAAATGATATGCGGTTAATATTGCTGCAAACAATCAAAACACTGTCTGATTCGATTGATGTAGTCGAGAGTGACCGTTGAAAAAAAAATATTAGAGAAACCCGTGTCGTGCTAAATAAAATCGGAGTAAAAATTCTATATTAATACCACCGAACATATGTCCCTGAAAGTAGACTCTCAATATCTGACGGATCATCCGCATAACACTTCTGTATCCTCCTCACGATTATACATTTATTAGACAGTAACCCAAAGACACAAATAACCAAAACACAGAGGGTAACATACAGAGGGTAACATACAGAGGGTAACATACAATGGGTAACATACAGTTGCCAACAGTAAACAGATTCATATTCATCAGTTTAATATATTAATAAATATTTTGATAGGTTCTTATGGATATTTGGACAGCGGTGTTGCATCATGGGTCAATGAAAAGAAAGACTACGATTATGCGTCTAATTCATGCAGTGGAGTGTGTGGACACTATACACAGGTGAGAATATTAAGTATCAATAAATTTGTATTCCTACCATTCAAGGAACGAAGCAATTGTGATATTATGTTGCACGTTAAAGGCATTGAACTGGGTTTTACTATTGAACTAATAGGTAAAGATTAAAGACTTACCCCCAGTTTTTGGTGGGGTTCGTCTTTAGTTTTCTATGTTATGTTTTGTGTACTATTGTTTGTCTGTTGGTCTTTTTCGTTTTTAGCCATGGCGTTGTCAGTTTATATTCAATTTATGAGTTTGAATATCCCTCTAGTATATTTCGCCTCTCTTTTAGAAATATGTGACAATCACAAGAAAAGTTATTGTTTTAGTTGCTGATATCTATTGCTTGTTTCGTCTTCGTCGGGATTTGCTGCTCCATTTCTTTGAAAGTATAAAAAAAAAAGACATTCACCGAATCATTACTTTTTCAGACACAACCTAGGTGCTATTGACTTCTTCAGATAAATTACATTACGGTTAAAAAACGTTGAATTTGCATAAAAGGAGGTCAGAAGGCATGCTGTAAAGGAATTCAGCCATGGTTAATCATAAAAACTCTAACTATCTTTTTAATTCGAGACTCCAAGTGTATCATTACAAAGTGTAAGAAAATGTCACGCTTCTTTTCTTGTACCATACTTTGTCCACCGAGGACGGCCAAATCAGAAAATCGTTTCGGACACAGAATCCCAAAAGGTATTAGTACCATACATGCCCATGCAGAGAAATTAACGGGCTATCTTTGGTTTGATTTTACATGATAAGTCAAAAATGATGTTAAATTCCAGACATGTTTTATGAGAGTGCTGCAATCGGCAGGTTATGCCATTTTTTTTAGGCATCGCATATCAAAAGCTTATCAATTTCGTCTCGCCCTCAAAAGGGCATATATGGGCTACTATGTTGCGCTAATTGATTCGATCAATCTTTTCATAATATCTTTTTATAATATTTCGTCAACAGGTTGTCTGGGCTGACAGTACCAAGCTTGGATGTGCCGTAGGAAGTTGTGCTACTATGACTAATTTACCATCTTACTTTAAGAATGTCAAATTCTTAGTATGCAACTATGGACCAGGGTAAGTTTTTACGTTCAAATAAGCTAATAATTTACATAGATATATAATTAATATCTTTTACATTACATTAAGTGTTAAAAAACATAAAAAAAGATCTGTAATAGTAAGTTGTATTTTGTTTTCTTTCTTTAAAACTATTTTGTCTGTTTCTGATTGCAAGAAAGTAAGACTTTTCAATAGCGGAACTTTGTTATATTACATTAGTTACAAAATTTGCATCATTAAACATTTGCCATATTTACCACTTCCAATAGGAGTACGGTATCAGTTAGAACGTTGACAGAGGGTCATGAAATCGGGACTATATTCTGAATGGAGTTTTATTATTTCTTTCATTTTTAATTTCTGCACAATATTTCTATTCACAGTAACTACCATCAATCATTTCATTTGAAAGATTTGTTGATCTTTACCTTGGATTGAAATATGGTATATATTTGTGAGTAATAACATTTTAATATGTTTGTTTCAAGAACTTATTTCAGATTATGTACCATGTCAAACAAATTTTTGACGTTAAACATGACACGTTCTCAATCAAATGAAAGTCGAGAACGTTCAGTTCTATAATGTGACTTTATAAGCAGGTCTTGCTATGGACACCAGTTGATGAGGTCATTAGATTGGCATTAGCAGGATACGAATATTTTGTAAGAGCTAAACTGGATACTGTCTTGCTATACAAATAGACTTCCAGTCATTTCACAAGTAACTTAATAAACGCATGTGCATATAATGTAAATGGATTTTTCTTGATCGACTTCTGAATCATATAGTTCAAACGAATTTAAAAATACACTCCCTTAATTTTGCAGTGGTAATTACAATGGTGTGAAACCTTATGAACAAGGCACAGCAAGCAATGACAATGGATCAGCAGGAACATCCGGCGGCTGCAAGTAGATAGGTAATTTGAGCTTTTCAAGTAGTTGTTGCAGCTTCCAGCTTTTACTTTTACAAGCTGACTACTAATGTTCATCCTATATGAGTTTTTATATTAACTCCCGAAACCAAAGTGAAAAAAATCCTTTCAAATGTTCTAAACACTTTTATTTCAATTTCTATGTTATTGAGTTTATTTCAAATGTGACTATGTTAACCATGTCAGTTGTTAATCACTGCATATGATATCATTAACTTTAAAATATATTATTTTTAGAATATGTAAGATAAATCAGTCTTCATCTAATAAAATATAAGGTTCAACAGAGTAAATATGATTGAGTAAACATATAAAAAAAAACATAATACGACGCTAAATAAACCTTTGAAGAACACTGGTGGAACAAGGTATAAAATTTGACCTTTTAGATAGTTTATTCCAACAAAACCTTGCAAGAACAAAGAGTTCCAAATGGTGAACTTGAAATCATCGATCCCTTCGTTTACGGACGCCATCACGAGTTAGTTGACCGTTATGGAATAACCGTTTCACAGATGATATCGGATATGTTCCTTATGTCGTAACTACAATACCCTTCCCTTTTCACGAATGTGACCTACCGAATTAGACTATTTACCGGATTTGTTATAATATAAGCAACATGACGGGTACCACATGTGGAGCAGGATCTGCTTACCCTTCCGGAGCACCTGAGACCACCCCCAGTTTTTGGTGGGGTTCGTGTTGCTTTGTCTTTACTTTTCTATGTTGTGTCATCTGTACTATTATTTGTCTGTTTGTCTTTTTATTTTTGGCCATGGCGTTGTCAGTTTGTTTTCGATCTATGAATTTGGCTGTCCCTTTGGTATCTTTCGTCTCTCTTTTACAAAGAAGTTAAAATTAAAATATACACACAACCTCTTCATGTCAACTTTGTGGGTGGATAATTGTCTCATTGGCAATCATACCACATCTCTTTATCTTCATATACATAAAAATAACTCGAGAAAAACGAACAAGAGTCATGTCATAATTCATTTTATTAAACATACAGTACAATATAAATATAGGAAAAGACAAACCAATGAAAACGTTGTCTCGATAAAATTGTACCTATAAGGCATTTATACTATATGACCTAATTCCTTATTTGAAATACGTATACACTATTTGATATAATATATGTTTAATCCTGGAAGTCATATGCACTGAAATAAAGATCAAATGATTATATCACACATGCAATTTTCTGTAGACTTGGGTTACACTTATATTTATACATATCGATCAAAACATAATAACTTGTCTTTTATTTTGTAGAATGAGCAAGCAGCGTACAAAATGGTTTGTTGAAACCCGACGACTAGACAAAAAATTGTAACTTTCTTTTATATTTGTCCACAACCTTATAATTAAAATGTTTCACGCATGGTCTCGTGGTCTTAATTATTATGCACATAGAATTATACATTAAAAGGATAATCAGAATGAAAAAGTATTTGAAAGTTAACCAGGCCACAACAACCACCAACATTTACCCCCCTCCTCCTCCCGCAAAATTAGAAAAACACATCGAACAATAGGGGAACCAGATATCCTGACAGGGGCGTAGCTGGACTTAAATAAAGTGCAATCATAACGATCACCGAGCGAAGCGAGGCGAAAATATTTTTTGGACCATTTTATGCAGAAAATGATTAATTTTTTCGGGCATTTTCCCGGTATGCCATGCTTTTGAAATTCACATCACTCCTTTACGCCCAAACTCCTATTTTGTGAATACTTGTGGACTTTATAGTGATTCGGCAAGGGAGGAGGCTATGGGCCGCTCAAATTCCCCAGCTGGTCCAGGGTAGCACCCTAGTCAGAGATCCATGGCAGCATCGTATACGGTGGTCCAGGGAAGCGAATCCCCATGAAGCTCCGGGCATACGAGTAATTACAGTGACTGCTCTGAACATGAAAAATACCCTACCTGTTTCTTACTATACATTGTATCATATTTTCATGAAATGATAGTAAAAGTCTAGTGAGTTCCGTAATTTGCTGCTTATATTATTAACATGGTTATTTTCAAATATAAAATAAATTTTATAAAACGGGAAGATCAGGAGGAGTCGACAACCGAAGCGTTAATCAATGGACAATTGACAAACCCGGGAACAGATAAGACACAAAAGGAGAAACAAAAACATTCAACATTGAAACCTAAATACAGATGAAAAACACAGATCCAAAACAACAATGTGGCGACCTCCGGTGCTCCGGAAGGGTAAGCAGTGACTGCTTCTTGCAAGACACCCGTAGTGTTTCTCACGAATGTCATTCTCAAATCAAAGGAGAGGTTTCTACGACAACGGTAGAAGGTCATTTGGGACACAGATACCCCGGGTGAATTAATAGTCTTTTAGACAAACGGACAATAGGAATGCGAAATCTAACGGCCACTTTTAAGTCTTGACTTATAAGTAAGGGAAATAAATCTAAGATGTTTTCAAGGTGATTGTATTGAGCCTGTATTATTAAATGTTAATACTGCATGTATAGTTAATATCCAAAGTCCATATATCTATTTTTGCCAAGGCAAATGATCGCAGAACTATCTCGGTGTTGATATCCATTTCTTTGTGAACATGTATGAACGCCAACGAAGATAGTCTGTCCTGTGCCATGTTTGAACGGAGAAGTTTTCGGTCGCCGTAATGCACTAAATGACCGTTCAGTAGTTGATGTAGTTACTGGCATTGTAACTAGAATTAAGAAGATTGCGAATATTGAAGGATATAGTTCCTTATTAGTCACTGCTAGAGACGACATCAGAGATTTGGGCTTTAAACACCGCCCGACACGATAATCTGTAAAGACTAAAAACTATCCGTAATTCAATTTCATTTTTTTTTTTTATGAAAAAAATGTGCAAGCAAATGATTTTTTGCGTAAAGGCAGCTACGCGCCTGCCTGACTTGGTACAGGTACAGCAAATAGCGAGGTAATACCGTATTTATGATGCCCGCATAAAACTTTCTTTTGCCTATCCAGATCACATGTCATAAATGTAAAACACAATAAACCTGCACAGCCCAGGTACCAGCAATATGACAAACTTAAGGACACTATAACTAGTTTATGAGAACATAGCTCACAAAATGATACCCCACCCCTAAATAAAGCAATGTCTTATCGTTTGCTTGAATTCGGATAAAGGAAAACAAAATAAGAGACGAATAAAAGCATTATATAGTGAAGTAAGGGGGGAGGGGGGGGGGGGGGTAAAAAGAAATTGTGGGGGCCCCATGTGAGCTTATGCCATCACTTGGCGTCCGTCGTCGTCGTCGTCTGTCGTCGTAAACTATTTCAAAAATCTTCTCCTCTAAAACTACTGGGCCAAATACCTTCAAACTTTAACTAAATGTTCCTTAGGGTATCTAGTTTATAAATTGTATCCGAAGTTTTGATCCATCGACAAACATGGCCGCCATGGCTAAAAATAGAACATAGGGGTCAAATGCAGTTTTTGGCTTATATCTCAAAAACTAAAGCTTTTAGAGCAAATGTGACATGGGGTTAAATTTTTCAATTGGTCAAGATCTATCAGTTCTGAAATTTTCAGACGAATCGAACAACCCATTGTTGGGTTGCTGCCACCGAATTGGTAGTTTTAACAAAATTTTGCAGTTTTTTGTTATTATTTTGAATATTATTATAGATATATAAAAAACTGTAAGCAGCAATAATGTTCAGCAAAGTAAGATCTACAAAAAAGTTAATATGACCATAATTGTCAATTGACCCCTTAAGGAGTTATTGCCCTTTAAAGACAATTTTACACAATTTGTTCATTAAGTTTGCTAACATTTAAAAATCTTCTCCTCTGAAACTACTGGGCCAATTACCTTCAAACTTTAACTAAATGTTCCTTAGGATATCTTGTTTATAAATTGTATCCGAAGTTTGTATCCATTGACAAACATGGCCGCCATGGCTAAAAATAGAACATAAGGGTCAAATGCAGTTTTTGGATTATATCTCAAAAACTAAATCTTTTAGAGCAAATGTGACATGGGGTAAAATTGTTTAATTGGTCATGATCTATCGACCCTGAAATTATCAGACGAATCGAACAACCCATCGTTGGGTTGCTGCCACCGAATTGGTAGTTTTAACAAAGTTTTGCAGTTTTTTGTTATCATTTTGAATATTACTATAGATATATGTAAACTGTAAGCAGCAATAATGTTCAGCAAAGTAAGATCTACAAAAAAGTTAATATGACCAAAATTGTCAATTGATCCCTTAAGGAGTTATTGCCCTTTAAAGACAATTTTACACAATTTGTTCATCAAGTTTGCTAACATTTAAAAATCTTCTCCTCTAAAATACAGGTGAGCGATTCCGGCTCTTGAGAGCCTCTTGTTTCTCATTTCAGTTTTCAGAAATTAAAAAGAATTATTCTTCAAATATTATTTTTTTTTCAAATTTCAAATATTGAAACATTTCAAGAAGTAATCTTTAATTCCACAGTATGGCCCATTAGATTTGTAAAATCTTTGACCACATTTATTTATTTGTTATTCCAAATCTGACTGTGTATTTAGATTTTTAATTTTGGGTCCAGTTTTCAAATTGATCTACATTAAGATCCAAAGGGTCCAAAATTAAACTTAGTTTGATTTTAACAAAAATTGAATATATGGGGTTCTTTGATATGCTGAATCTAAACATGTATTTAGATTTTTGATTATGGGCCCAGTTTTCAAGTTGGTCCAAATTGGGGTCCAAAATTAAACTTTGTTTGATTTCAACCAAAATTGAATATATGGGGTTCTTTGATATGCTGAATCTAACCATGTATTTAGATTTTTTATTTGTGGGCCCGCTATCAAATTTGTTCATATTGAGGTCAAAAGGGTCCAAAATTAAACTTTGTTTTATTTCATCAAAAATTGAATTATTGGGGTTCTTTGATATGCCAAATCTAACCCTGTATTTAGATTTTTAATTTTGGGTCCAGTTTTCAAATTGGTCTACATTAAGGTCCAAAGGGTCCAAAATTAAACTTAGTTTGATTTTAACAAAAATTGAATATATGGGGTTCTTTGATATGCTGAATCTAAACATGTATTTAAATTTTTGATTTTGGGGCCCAGTTTTCAAGTTGGTCCAAATTGGGGTCCAAAATTAAACTTTGTTTGATTTCAACAAAAATTGAATATATGGGGTTCTTTGATATGCTGAATCTAACCATGTATTTAGATTTTTTATTTGTGGGCCCCGCTATCGAATTGGTTCATATTGAGGACAAAAGGGTCCAAAATTAAATTTGTTTTATTTCATCAAAAATTGAATTATTGGGGTTCTTTGATATGCCAAATCTAACCCTGTATTTAGATTTTTAATTTTGGGTCCAGTTTTCAAATTGGTCTACATTAAGGTCCAAAGGGTCCAAAATTAAACTTAGTTTGATTTTAACAAAAATTGAATATATGGGGGTTCTTTGATATGCTGAATCTAAACATGTATTTAGATTTTTGATTATGGGCCCAGTTTTCAAGTTGGTCCAAATTGGGGTCCAAAATTAAACTTTGTTTGATTTCAACCAAAATTGAATATATGGGGTTCTTTGATATGCTGAATCTAACCATGTATTTAGATTTTTTATTTGTGGGCCCCGCTATCAAATTTGTTCATATTGAGGTCAAAAGGGTCCAAAATTAAACTTTGTTTTATTTCATCAAAAATTGAATTATTGGGGTTCTTTGATATGCCAAATCTAACCCTGTATTTAGATTTTTAATTTTGGGTCCAGTTTTCAAATTGGTCTACATTAAGGTCCAAAGGGTCCAAAATTAAACTTAGTTTGATTTTAACAAAAATTGAATATATGGGGGTTCTTTGATATGCTGAATCTAAACATGTATTTAGATTTTTGATTATGGGCCCAGTTTTCAAGTTGGTCCAAATTGGGGTCCAAAATTAAACTTTGTTTGATTTCAACAAAAATTGAATATATCGGGTTCTTTGATATGCTGAATCTAACCATGTATTTTGATTTTTGGGCCCCATTTTCAAATTGGTCCACATTGAGGTCAAAAGTGTCCCCTAAATTAAACTTTGTTTAATTGCATCAAAAATTGAATTCTTTGGATTCTTTGATATGCTGATCTAACCATGTATTTAGATTTTGGATATTGGACCATAATAGGTAAATTAAAAAAATTTAAGCTCTTAGACCACATTCATTCTGTGTCAGAAACCTATGTTGTGTCAAATATTTAATCACAATCCAAATTCAGAGCTGTATCAAACTTGAATGTTGTGTCCATACTTGCCCCAACTGTTCAGGGTTCGACCTCTGCGGTCGTATCAAGCTGCGCCCAGCGGAGCATTTTATTTTAAATACTGTTTTCACAATGGTTAAGAATTGTCTGTCTTCGTTTACTTCCATCATCAAATTTCTGTATCCATGTGCTGTATGGAGTAAGGGAAACATGCTTAAGTTCACTGTAGCTTTTCTATTAAATGCCATTTATCATTACTATTTATCTTATTTTTTCAGATAAAGAACCTGAATCCAGTAGCAATACAGGGGCAATAAATACCATTGCAAGGGAGCAGTTGTTGAATCAAAGGGCCAAAACTATTGGTGTTTTACCAGGACTCGGTGCTTATGATAATGATACAAGTGATTCTGAAACATCTAGTAGTGACTCTGAATGTGATTTCAGTATACAGAAAAAAGTTAAGATTCAAATCAATACACAGTGATTAGTTTTGACAGTTATCAATTTTTGAAATGTTCCACATGGTTCCAAATTTATACCAGTGGTTTAAAATTTATAAACAGCCTTATATTAAAGGACATGCAAGCTGTTTTGTTTCTTTATCTGAACCATTCTTATATGCAAAGAATATGAAGCACTTGTTCAGATTTCAGTGAAATAGAAAACGTTAGCCACCACCAGACAAAAATGGTTATGAATAGTTGACATTGTTTACAGTTCAACTTATACTGACTGTTGCATGTTAATTTCAATTGTTAAAACATAAATTATTTGATCATTAAATGTTTTAATATTTATTTTTAATCATTTGCATGGTAAATGGTGTTTTTTTTTTTTTTTTATATTATACGATAAAATAAGGAGATGTTGTATGATTGTGAATGAGACAACTATCCACAAGAGCTAAAATGGTATGGATTTCAGCAAGTAACTATAGGTAACTGTACAACTTCAACAATGATCAAAACCCATACTGTTTAGGCAGCTATCAAAAGCCCCAAAATGAAAAAATGTGAAACAACCAAGGACCTGATTTATGAAAAAACAATAAGCAAAACACAATATTAAGATAACCACTGAATTACAGGCACATATTGAATGAGGTGAGGTTAATCATGTTTGTGATCTCTCAACCATATGCTAACCTGGGACAGTGGTATAACAGAACATAAGAATAAACTGTAAAAATCAGTTGGAAGCACAAAAAAAAAAAACTAGTATAAAGACAAAAGACACAGAGTACTGATCTCAAAGTACTCACAGTTATTGAAAGCTTTTTCAAATTAATAACAACTAATAAATAACTCATGTTCTCCCAGACCAAAGTATGAATCAGTACACAACACAACCAACAGATATAGTGTAATGAGATCATAAACAGTCTGAGTAAAAACATAACCTTGTGCAATGCCAAAATAAAAAAATACCGACAGGATGAAGAACCAGTTATGTGTCAATTTAACAGAAACAAAATCAATGTTACTACTGATAAAAACAATATTCAAAGATCTTAATACTGTTTCCTGATCTTTGATACTATAAGCAATAGATCAACTGTATTTGGTTTATTGAATGATTGTAAGGTGTACAACTGCAAATCCAACTTGCAGATTTTATCTGACCTTGGCCTCATTTTCATGATTCATTGGTCAATGTTAAGTTTTCATGTTTGGTCTGTTTCTCAGTTACTAAAAGCTATAGGTAATCTATATTTGGATTTGGTGTATTAAAGGATTGTAAGGGGTACATGTTTGTTTGGCAGGTTTCATCTTACCTTGACCTTATTTACATTGATCATTGATAATGTTAAGTTTATGTGATACTTGTAGTAAAGCCTTTATCTTAAAGACTTTCAACATCAATTCAATCAGGATCAGTTAAATAGCTGAGACATTTCAGCTTGTGCACTCTTATTAAACTAATTTAAATTTTTCATTTAAGGATATACAAGTTGAACTATGAGCTATTGCTCACAAATGATATCCCCGCTATAAGAATTCTGTTAACACTAATTTGATGGGTGATGGATGTGAAAGAACATCACACAGTATACCATACTCAAACAAAGCTTGATATTAGATTTTAAGTTACTCTGATTCTTAGTTCAAGAGAAAAATGTGATGAAAAAAATTTCATACATGGCTATTATGTGCAAGAGTATATTAGAAATAAATTAATAAGTATTTGGTTGTGATGAGGGATGAATACGAAAAGGCATCACACAGTATAGCATGCTCACTTGCTATCCGATACCAAATTTCAGGAAGTTCCTGAGAATGGATTTAATACATTGAACCAATGAACCATAAAAATGAGGTCAAGGTTAGATGAAACACACCAGACAACATGTACACATGAAATTGTTCCATACATCAAATATAGTTGACATATAGCTTATAGTATCTGAAAAACAGCCATAACCCTTAAATATTAACATTGACTTATGAACCATAAAATGAGGTCAAGGTTAGATGAACCCTGCCAGACAGACATGTACACCTTGCTGTCTTTCCATACACCAAATGTAGTTGACCTTTTGCTTATAGTGTCTGAGAAACCCACCAAACTACAAAAATTTGAAATTGGCCAATGAACCATGAATATGAGTTCAAGGTCAGATGAAACCTGGCAGTCAGCCAAGCATACATTACAATCATTCTATACCCTAAATAGTTGACCTATTGCTTATAATATATGAGATGCAGACTTGACCATGAAAACTTAACCTTCATCACTGATCTATGAACCCTGTCTGACGGACATGTTGACCTTGCAAGGACCCTATATACCAAATATAGTTATCCTGTTACTCATAATAAAGTTGGGTTTTTTCAAGCAGTTGCTGAACGATGAAAATGAGGTCAAGGAGAATAGACATTTGACATACAGAAACTTTGTAACATAAGGTATCTGCATTCAAGGTATGAAGCATCCAGGTCTTCTTCCTTCTGATATATAAAGCTTTATAGTAATCCTAGTGTCCCTCATTCTGCAATAGTCACAGAATAGACAAAAATTTAGGGATGAACTCAGGTGCTCCTGAAGGGTAATCAGTTCCTACTGAGGATAACTAGAGACTTAAGGAGCCTGGATGTATATTGCCCAAATTAATAAAAACTAAAATTTTTTGGTATGTCTTGATTTTTGGCTGAAAAATTAAACCAAAAATATTTGGAGTGGGCTCCACAGAACCCTGTATATCGTCTGTGATTGCTACTGTAAACGTAAAAGTCTAATACTGACTGCCAAAAAATAAGTTCATTTATCAGTAAAACAAATTCTGTTTAAGTTTTGTAAAAATTCCATGATATAAAGTTTTTGATGCAGTTAAAATTAAATCCAGGCATATATGTGTAAATTTTAACTGAAAAATAAATTAAGTCTGCTTTTGCTCTGGAAAATGTATTTTTATCACGAAGAGATATCTTTCGAAGTTTTTAAGAATTCTATGAAGGTTTGATAAAGTTATTGATGTCAAAAAACCTTACACTGTATCTAAATGTCAACTGCCAAGAAAAACTATTATAGTCCACTTATCAGTAAAATACTTAATAATGATAAAGAAAAAACTCTGGATACAGTCTTTTCATCAAATAAAATCTTCTGCCCAAGTTTCTTAAACTTCCATGAAGGTTTGACAAAGTTGTTGATGTATATTGAATACTTACTATACAGACAGAACCTTAATTTTGATGACACTGACTTTTGAACATAGGATCCCCATTATGTTACTTCCACGACTTTCATTACAGGCTTAACAAAGCAAATTTCAGACAATGATAATATAAAGGACTTTTTCCTTACATTGTGATTGGTAAGAAAATAATAATAAAACAATATAAATTGGTGCCTGTGAAGTTTAGAATTTTTAATTACTTTTTTTTAGAAATTGACATGAGAAATGTAATCTTCATTATAAATGACTCTTTTTATTTCTTTAGATGCTAAGCATTCTAATGTCCATTTTGATGATATTTCCGTTCATGCATCCTTTTGCTGTTGACTAACAGTTCATATTTATAGGGAGAAAGTTTAGAATCAACAACCATGTTTAACCCTTTCAAATGTCTCCTACCTTATTTTCCAGGAGCCTATTTCTCATAGACAATCATTACCACATCTTGTTTCTATTACTAAAATTTATTTAACACTGGTCTACCACTTCCTGTTTCCTGTGTGAAAAAGTGAAACTGCGAGCTACTGCTCACTGATGATACTCCCAGCCCAAATACTTGACGGTAAACAGGAAGTTGTTGAGTGATGAATCTGAAAATGCATCACACGGTATAGCTGACTTATATAAACACTGAAACCAAATTTCAGAAATCCTTGTAATGTAGTTCCTGAGGAAAATGTGACGAAAATTTTCAACTTGGATGTCATGTGTAAAATGATATAAGTGTTCGGTAAACAGGAAGTTGTTAAGGGATGAATCTGAAAACACATCACACGGTATTGCTGACTCATATAACCCCATAAACCAAATTTTAGAAATCCTTGTAATGTAGTTCCTGAGAAAGATGCGACGAAAAATATTCATGGGATGGACGGACGGACAGACAGAGGTAAAACAGTATACCCCCCCCCCCCCCTTTTTTAAAGCGGGGGTATAATAAAAAAGATATCACATAGATATAATTAAATGAACCCATTTTCTATAAAGATTTTATTTTACATAACACAAAACAATTTAAAAGTACTCAGCATACTTCAATCAGTATTCTATAAATATATAATTAAGACTGTTCTGTAGCATTGCCGCCATACTTCTTTACCCATCTTTCTACAAATTCTCTTTTCCTTATATCACGTCTGGCAAAATAATCTGGGTATAGTGCCTTCTCCCTAGGATGCCACATGTCCAATAACTAAAAGAAAAAAGTATAAATATTATTAGAAGACGCTAAAATTTCACATCTCAAAAACTGATTATTTAGTTGAAATTAAAGAACCTTTGTGAGCACACTCACATACCCCACACTCCACATTGTCACTGGGCAAACAAAATCTCACCAGTTCAAAGACTCATAACTGCTACAAAAGTCAACTGATAATAATTTCTTGTGGATATGTACATCTACATATAATGTCCTCATTGAATACAAAGTTTCATGAAATTCTCATGTGCGGTTTCAGAGGATTTATGATGATAAACTGTCTAGTATAATTTAAATTCTTAAAAATTCAAAGCTCAAAGGGGCATAACACTTAGAAAAAAAATTGAATCATAATTTCCTGTTGATATGCACATCTTCATAGAAAGTCTTTATTATCGGAGTTGTGATGACAAACTTTTGCAGTAGTATATTTCAAATTCTTTAAAATTCCAAGTTCAATTGGCATAAATCTTAGAAAATAAAATGAAGAATGTGTCCCCGCTTGAAAATATACAGACATAACTAAAGAACGGCGAAAGTGACGTCAGCAAAATTTGAACTGAATCTGTGTTTGGTCGTAATAAGCATTGTGTATAAGTTTTATAGCATTTGATTAAGGAAAACAAAAGTAAGTGTGTAGAAACGACAAATTTAGCAATTTTTCCATTAATAAAGGGACATAACTCAAGAACGGTTAAAGTGACGCCACCCAAATTTGAACTTGATCTGTGTTTGGTGGTAAGCCTTGTGTATAAGTTTTATAATATATGGTTGAGACAAACAAATGTAAGAGTGGGGAAACTAAAGACTAATTGTTGGCTGTATGTACAGACAGACTGATGGACAGGTCAAAAACATTATACCCTATGCAACATATAATAAAAATGCTTTGTGACCATGACTGATAAAATTGCATATTCATATCAATGTGATGCTCCAGAAATATTTGTGCTTACAAGATTGAAGATACATAAGCAAGCAGAGAGACAGAGTCATTCCTAAATATCTCCCATTAATAGGGTTATTAAGTTGACATTGTTTACTCTAGGTAAAATATTTGGTATTGAATAATTACATGATAGGGTAAGGTAATATTGAAAGCTTTCTTGAAATTTTGTGGACTGAACATGTTATTCATTGGCTAGTTCGTCTAGCCACATCTCTATCCCCAAATTTTGGCCTGTATTATACATTTCCATGTATTCAATATATGGAATTAGCTTCAGCATGTTGAGTTTCCTTTAAATTTTTATTTGTTGTCCCTTAAATTGTAACTAGCCACTATTGTCTACATGTACCGTATATTATCATTAAAATAAAATGCTTTGCTGGGGCGCAGCTTGATACGACCGCAGAGGTCGAACCCTGAACAGTTGGGGCAAGTATGGACACAACATTCTAGCTTGATACAGCTCTGAATTTGGATTGTTATTAAATATTTGATACAGCATAGGTTTCTGACACAGAAAGAATGTGGTCTAAGAACTTGAATTTTTTTAATTTACCTATTATGGTCCAATGTCCAAAATCAAAATACATGGTTAGATTCAGCATATCAAAGAACCCCATATATTCAATTTTTGTTAAAATCAAACAAAGTTTAATTTTGGACCCCAACTTGGACAAACTTGAAAACTGGGCCCCAAAATCAAAAATCTAAACACATGTTTAGATTCAACATATCAAAGAAACCCAAGAATTCAATTTTTGCTAAAATCAAACTAAGTTTAATTTTGGACCCTTTGGACCTTAATGTAGACAAATTTAAAAAACAGGACTTAAAATTAAAAATCTAAATACATGGTTAGATTTGGAATATCAAAGAACCCCAATAATTCAATTTTTGATGAAATCAAACAAAGTTTAATTTTGGAGCCTTTTGACCTCAATATGAACCAATTTGATAGCGGGGCCCACAAATAAAAAATTCTAAATTCATGGTTAGATTCAGCATATCAAAGAACCCCATATATTCAATTTTTGTTGAAATCAAACAAAGTTTGATTTTGGACCCCAACTTGGACAAACTTGAAAACTGGGCCCATAATCAAAAATCTAAACACATGTTTAGATTCAGCATATCAAAGAACCCCAAGAATTCAATTTTTGTTAAAATCAAACTAAGTTTAATTTTGGACCCTTTGGACCTCAATGAAGACCAATTTAAAAAAACGGGACCCAAATTAAAAATCTAAAAACATGGTTAGATTTGGCATATCAAAGAACCCCAATAATTCAATTTTTGATGAAATCAAACAAAGTTTAATTTTGGACCCTTTTGACCTCAATATGAACCAATTTGATAGCGGGGCCTACAAATAAAAAATCTAAATACATGGTTAGATTCAGCATATCAAAGAACCTCATATATTCAATTTTTGTTGAAATCAAACAAAGTTTAATTTTGGACCCCAAATTGGACCAACTTGAAAACTGGGCCCATAATCAAAAATCTAAATACATGTTAAGATTCAGCATATCAAGGAACCCCATATATTCAATTTTTGTTGAAATCAAACAAAGTTTAAATACTGGACCCTATTTTGGACCAACTTGAAAACTGGGCCCATAATCAAAAATCTAAACACATGTTTAGATTTGGCATATCAAAGAACCCCAAGAATTCAATTTTTGTTAAAATCAAACTAAGTTTAATTTTGGACCCTTTGGACCTTAATGTAGACCAATTTAAAAAGCAGGACCCAAAATTAAAAATCTAAATACACGGTTAGATTTGGCATATCAAAGAACCCCAATAATTCAATTTTAGATGAAATCAAACAAAGTTTAATTTTGGACCTTTTTGACCTCAATATGAACCAATTTGATAACGGGGTCCACAAATAAAAAATCTAAATACATGGTAAGATTCAGCATATCAAAGAACCCCATATATTCAATTTTTGTTGAAATCAAACAAAGTTTAATTTTGGACCCCAATTTGGACCAACTTGAAAACTGGGCCAAAAATCAAAAATCTAAATACATGTTTAGATTCAGCATATCAAAGAACCTCGTATATGTATATTCAATTTTTGCTAAAATCAAACAAAGTTTAATTTTGGACCCTTTGGACCTTAATGTAGACCAATTTAAAAACTGGACCCAAAATAAAAAATCTAAATACACTGTTAGATTTGGCATAACAAATAAATAAATGTGATCAAAGATTTTACAAATCTAATGCACCATACTGTGCAATTAAAGATTACTTCTTGAAATTTTTCAATATTTGAAATTTGAAAAAAAAATAATATTTGAAGAATAATTCTTTTTAATTTCTGAAATCTGAAATGAGAAAAAATTGACCCCCCCACAATTTCTTTTTATCCCCCCCCCCCTTTTTTCCCCCAAAAAATTCTTTCCCTCAAGATATGGTCATAATCTCAATTCAAATTTCCAATGGAGTTGGCAACCATAATTACTCATTTAAATTTACCATAGTGCTAACTTAATATATTTTATAATAGAATTAATAAAAATATAGTGTCAAATCTTTCATATGGATTTTTTTGTAAAAAAAAAAGATGCAACATTTGCAGATATTTTTACTGGTCTTCCTTTATAAATATGCATTTCTTTAAACATAATTTAAAAGCAGTGTAAGGGAAGTAACCAAAACGTTGTATTTGGATTACCTCCCTTACACTGTTTTAAATTATCTTTATTGTTCATTGACCATTACTTTATACATATTTTAAAAGCAGTGTAAGGGAGATAATTTCAATGATGTATTTGATTTATCTCCCTTACACTGCTTTAAATTATGTTTTGTATTAAAGTATTTGTCCATTAACCAGGACAACCTTGTTTTTCCCCCTTTTTTGCCCCTAATTCCTAAACGGTTTGAGCCATAACCCCCCAAAGCAAATCCTAACCATCCCTTTGTGGTATGGAAACTTGTAGTATAATTTCAGAGAGATCCATACACTGTTCCACAGTTATTGTCTGGAAACTAGAAAATGCTTATTTTTGGCCCCTTTTTGGCCCCTAATTCCTTAACTGTTGGTACCATAACCCCCAAAATCAATCCCAACCTTCCTTTTGTGGTATTTAACCTTATGGTCAAATTTCAAAAAGATCCATTCACTTAAACTAAAGTTAGAGTGCGAAAACCAATGTGTCTTCGGACAACGACGACGACGACGACAACGTCATACCAATATACGACCACAAAATTTTTTGCGGTCGTATAAAAATTGACAAAATCATTCACCTAGTTGTATGATCATTATTACCAAGTTTGTATGTCAATATTAAATAGGTTTGTCATTGGTAAAGTAAAAACATAATTGAAAAGTATTTTTCCTCCAGGGCATAATGTTACATTCCCACTGACTATAAAACATTCATGAAAATTTTGACTTGGATGGAGAGTTGTCTCATTGGCACTCATACCACTTCTTCTTATATCTATATATGAGGTTTACATTCTTGACAAATCATGTAACAAAATCCTATAAACTTACAGCATCTGGTTGCACTGGTACTCTGTCATATGCAGCTCCACCTGGTGCATGGGCAACTGTTAAAAAAAGAAAGATAATTACTTTCACCTGCAATATAGGCTCACTGTATTAAATAAATTTTGTTTCCAGTAGAAATCAATTAGTCTTGATATAAACATCATAAAGAGAGAAAAAAATCATTAAAAGGACAAATTAAAAGTAACACTGTGATCATGGTGATAGCATCAAGCTGCAAAATCAGAGATTTTTTCATACATAACTCAAACTTTCATGATTTTGACTTTGCAAAAGTGAAGCATATCATTAAAACAGGGATATTTACAGCAATTACATATTATTTTCACATTTAATTTTTCATAAAGAAGGGACAAAAACTGTAAAAGAACTACAACAAAATTTGGATCAATGATATTTGTTAATGTCCACTTTTTTTAAAAAAAAACATCAGATTTGTTTGTAAAACGAGACCAGTTTTAAACTACTAGACTAATAGACAAAAATAGAGTTTTATGACATTTTCCCACAATCCAACACTAACCAAATTAATTTTTGTTTAAAGATACAACTAAACCTTGTAGTTAACAATATACATACACTTTAATGGTACAGTATGCCAATTTGCAAGCATTTTTGTTCGTCCATCTTTCAGTAGTTGTCTTGATTTTACAATATCTTTTTCATCCTTGTTTTTATCAAACTCAGCTCGTAGACACACTGCTTGATAGCGATAAAGTAATCTGTAAAATATAAGCATTCTTAGACAAAGTTTAATGATACAAGTTGCACTGTTGTTTTAATTATGCAGCATTCAAGCTAAAATAATTGTACACAAAAAAGTTGATTCAACATGGTTTCTGTCTCCAAAAACTGAGCACAGCCTGATATGACCAAAAAAGAAGTTTATGAGGTTAATTCTCTTCTTTTGGGGTCATTAATCTGAAAACTGCTTTAAAATCTATTAATTTCCCATATGATCATGATGATTCCCAATATAAATTTGGTTAATGGGTTGCTGCCCACAAAAGCACATTCTGAATATGCAGAAGTTTCTATTCTAAGAAAACTATACAATGTATATCCACGTAATATTATATTATTGAATGAATTTAGAATAAAAGGGTTTTCAAGTTGTACTTTAATTTATAATGTTCATACATCAAAAAAAATTGCATTTATGTAGCCGAGGAACTGTAGCTGTTAGATCCTTATGATATTTTCTGACAATTTAGGGGCCATTATGTCAAAACAAAATCATAACGACATAAGAGCTACGGTTCAGCAGTTAGCATTGACGTAACAACAGTCTACACGGTTAGCCACTAGTCTAATGCCCCAGATAAGTAAAATTTAATTCGGACTAGTAAGTTTTTGCAAAATTTTGTTAAGACATGTTAGACACATAAGAAAAATTCGTAAGGGTTCCGCGGAACCCAGTGTCTCGCCTACTTTTTGCTGTTAATCACAGGCTCAGCAAAAATGAGGAAAAAAATTAATAAAAATATTCCTCTCTATACTATCTTTTGATTGTAAGTAGCTTCTGTCCAAGTTTGGTAAAAATCCAGGATAGTTTATGAATCTAATAAATGTTTTAAAAACTTAAACTGCAGACTGTATGTAATGTTAACTGGAAGAAAAACTTAGTCCATTTTTAAATAAAATACGGAAAAAATGGAACAAAATTTCCTTCTAGATACTAGCTTTTAATCATAAACAAGCTTCTGTCTAAGTTTGGTACAAATCCAGGATAGTTTAAGAAAGTTGTTCAAATTTTAAAAACTTTAACCACAGAGTGAATGTAATGTTAACTGGCAGAAAAACTAAGTCCATTTATAAGTAAAAAACGGAAAAAATGGATTTTTTTTTTTACAAAATTTACTTCTGGATACTAGCTTTTAATCATAAACAAGCTTCTGTCCAAGTTTGGTACAAATCCAGGATAGTTTAAGAAAGTTGTTAAAATTTTAAAATCTTTAACCACAGAGTGAATGTAATGTTAACTGGCAGAAAAACTAAGTCCATTTATAAGTAAAATACGAAAAAAATGGAATTTTTTTTTACAAAATTTACTTCTGGATACTATCTTATGATCATAAACAAGCTTCTTTCCAAGTTTGGTAGAAATCCAGGATAGTTTAAGAAAGTTATTAAAATTTCAAAAACTTTAACCACAGAGTGAATGTAATGTTTCCTGGCAGAAAAACTAAGTCCATTTATAAGTAAAATACGGAAAAAATGGAATTTTTTTTTTACAAAATTTACTTTTGAATATTATCTTATGATCATAAACAAGCTTCTGTCCAAGTTTGGTAGAAATCCAGGATAGTTTAAGAAAGTTATTAAAATTTCAAAAACTTTAACCACAGAGTGAATATTTGTGGACGCCGCCGACGACGACGACGACGACGACACCGACGGAATGTAGGATCGCTATGTCTCGCTTTTTCGACAAAAGTCGAAGGCTCGACAAAAATGTTGAAATATTGGTCTTCGAACTAGTAGTTGGAAAAGATAAAAAAAAAAAATTGGTTCAGACTGCAACAATAAGTTAAATAACGCAATGTAACCGTAGACAGAAATATCAGAGGCGGATTTAGAGGGTTTTTCAGGGGGCCCTGGAAAAATATTGGTTGATTATATAGGGAATGACTGGAGCGAGCCCCCTCTTATGAAAATTTCTGGATCCGCCACAGAATATTATTGTTATGTTTGTAATTACAGAGCTCCAGATAAGAATTCACAAATTGGGGTTTTTACCCACCATATTTTATGTAATTGAGTGAAAAAGTTTTTTCAATTGCATTATTAATTCTAATTCACCCCTCAAGCAAATATCAAATTGAGTTTTTCACCACCAAGCTCCTTAATGTACAATGATGTATTGGGTTTTTTCATCAACAAGATTTAGGTTTGTTATAATGAAATTACATCAAACCGAGATGTTCATCCATCTTAAATATGTTTCTTTCATTATATATGTGATAGCTGTTTCATTTAGTTTATACCCGTACGAGCAATTGTTCGTTTAATTTGTGTCTAGTTTAAACCGTTTTGTATTTTCTCTCAACTTACATAAACTGGTGTCACTAGTGGGACAGTAACTAATTACTTTTCTAGAGCACATACTATCACCTGTCAGTTTGTTTGGAGTAGGTGTAGCTAAGTTTTTAGACTTTTATGTAGTATTTGTGAACATTGTGTCCTGTAAGACAGTCTACCAGTCCTATCAACTGTTTGCCAGACCTACTTTTTCTTTAAATTCCCATAATTGATTTAAGATGCACCTTAAAACCTTGACTAGAACTACCAGGTTAAGGATATGACTGGGGGGGGGGGGGGGGGGGGTTAATGACTGAAACTACATTCAATTTAAATAATCCTGCAACATCAAATTAATAAATGACAATGTTGTACTGCACTTGCCAATAAGACAACTATCTATAGCATAAGAACAATTAGACCAAAAACAAAGAAAGTGGCAAGCTACATTAACATGTAAGTCAAAACGAATATGTGTGTTCACTCATCAACTAAAATGAAGAAGAAAAAAAATTACTCTTTTAAAACTAAAATAATACTTGAATGTTTTTGTTTAATTTTATTTACATAAATCTGGTCTTTAGTTGTCCCTTATTAAAACTTTTGGTTTCCATTGATTTTCAACTATATAATTGATTTGGCCTTTCACTGTTCCGACTGATTTAGTTCTTGCACCACTGATTAGTCATCATGGTCATATGGAGACCAAACCCGTGTTGTACTAACAGTAACAATTAATGTTCTCGTTCAGGCATGCATACTAGCCCTGGATGCGACATTGCACGAACCTGTGCGTCCAACGGACGCTTCCTGATAACACTAGCTGAGTTTCGTTATCATCATAATTTTCCTTCAGCTATCAAAAAGAAGCTGAAAACATGCTCCTATTCAATATATTTACCGAAAATTTACTTTCGTTTTAATTCATTGCTATGTGTAACGATAAATCCTGATCAATACGAAAATAATTATGATCACATGACTTATGCTAATTGGATAAATGCAGAGAAGATCGAAATATGTGTATTTGATGTAACGCTCTATTTTTAGAACGAAAGGACATTTCCAATCATAAATATTACAAAAATAGATTTACGCGACGACAATGTAATAGATAAGGGTAAATAACGCACACGATAGCGACTAGAAGGGTTAAGAACGCATGGTTTTGACATGTAATTGGGTTTTCCTTTGCATGAATTGGGTTTTTGAACGCTGCAATCGTCAATTGAATTGGGTTTTCAATTTTTTTTTATTGCGTTATCACGCAAATACACAGCTTATCTGGAGCTCTGTAATTAATCAGTTCCTAACGAGGGGCGCCCAACGCGATCTTGCAATTGGGCAATTGGTCTTAAACGTAACAAGTTTTCATCGTAATCGTAGCTAAGTAAAACATTTTGTGTTTGTCCTTGAGCAGTGTTCATGGTGTTAAGTGTGGTTTATTTTTTCTAGACTAAGGTTAGCATTATATATCAAAGAATTTCAACCTTCCGTAAGTAATATGTTCTGAATATTTGCTTTCTAACTGTCTGAGTGCTTCCTTGTACAGAGTTTTGACTTGTCTTGCATGGGAAATCAGCTCTGTTTGCAGAAAGGACATCGCGAACAGGCGACTGGTAACCGTAACGCAAACGTAAGGAGGAAAGATTATCAATAAACCGAAAACTAGTGCGTTAAGGATAACCGAACATATTTAGAACAACATTTTTGATTGGTGTAAATTAATGTATACTAAGGTTACATTGATCCCGTAAACGATAGATACATATATATTTTTTTTAGTTTCTTACATCTTAATATTTTTAGTTATTGGCATCAGAATGAAAGATGAATGAGAAGAATCTATGAATCGGTTATTCATCTTAATAGTAATTATAATAAAAAAAATATTGCACGCTTGAGTATATTGTACTGATACTAGTACTGATGATGTAAAATTAGATTGTGTAAAGTCTGAAAGGCTACTTTAAATAACTATCGATAACTCTCTGTCATGGTCTGAGCAAACACATGCTTTAGTTTCAAAAAAAATATCTACAGATTTTTCCAAGGTGAAATATGCGCTGCGTAAGTAATCATCTTTAAATAAATTCAAAAACTTGATAAATTCTTGGTCTGGCAGCTCATGACAATGTCTCGCCTACAAAACCAGTTAACTCTGTTTGTTACTCATTGTATTTAGATAACTGCTTTGTTTTCAACATGACATTTTTTTTGTAAACTTAAGTTATAGTGCTTCTGCTATTTTGTGCTTATTTTAGTTACTTAACTAATCTTTTTTAATTGTATGTGTGCTTGACTTGATATGTATGTTTTCAGGCTTGTTGTGCTTTTGTTTTGTCGGTTTTAAAAGCTCTTCAGAGCCGTTATGTTTGTATAATTGTATTGCATATGTATACTTACTTTAAATAAAGCTTTATGTCTATGTCTTATGACTTATACACTATATGATAGAAGTAGAAGACTGGTTAAATCGTTTGAGACATTATCTGTAAGAGGGCCACCGTTTAATATTCTATTTCATTTTATATTGCGGATTGAATATATATATTTGATTTCATCTATAATTGCTACGCAATGATATCCTGCATTTTGTGTTATATATATTCATTTTCATCTTGTCTTTGGCAAGATTATTTATTTTCAGGTCTAACCAGGCAAGGATATTCATTTTCAAAATACTCCTCTCACCCCCACAAAATCAAATGGTCGTCCCTTTATACAAGGGTCTCTTGTTATATATATTATTATGAAACTAGTTTGCTTATAGTTGATACTTAATGTGTAATATGGAGTAAAACATCACTGCAAAAAGCGCTGCAATAAAATTGAGAATGGAAATGGGGAATGTGTCAAAGAGACAACAACCCGACCATAGAGCAGACAACAGCCGAAGGCCACCAATGGGTCTTCAATGCAGCGAGAATAATTCTGAATGCAAAACATGATGTTATTATCTGTTTTGATGTTAATTACATGTAACAACTTGGCTAGCTTACTATAAAAATACAATTGTATGTCATAGAGGTATAATGGGGGTATACATGTATTGATAATCATACTCCAGGTTGTTTTAAAATCATCTCATCAAAGTTACCATTCTCATTAATGAAAATGTTTTTGTGACTCTACCAAAAATTAATTTTATGAAGAAAAGTTTTCATTATTCAGGTACGTAAACTTCATGGAACAATCTATCCTCAACTTTGCTTTCTATTCCAATTATGGATTTATCAAGAAAAAATATCATGAATATATGTGTATGAATCAAAATGCCAATTAGACCTTTTTTGCACGTGTGATTTACCAAGTGTCATCACTTAAGTCAATCTAATTAAAATATAGATCTCGGATTTCGTTATACTACGTTATATACTACATGTAGTATAACGTAGTATAACGAAATCCGAGATCTATATTTTAATTAGATTGCACTTTTAAGTGTTTGTTCCAAATTTAGCTAAAACGCATTTTATATATACATACTGTATTTTATATAATTTTTACGATGTGAAGCTATTGGTTTCATACGATATGCACGTCATCTTTAAATTATGACCTATTTGTTTCATAGTTCGTATATACATTTGCACTCATTATTGTCTTTTTACTATGTATGCCATTAGTTATAGTTGCATACTAAATGAGAGATCGTCCTAGCTCTTTTTTTCTGCATGTGGACATAATTCTGCGTTAACATTTATCTTTACTTTGTTCGAATCCTCTCATGAGATTCTTGTTTACCGTTATATTATAACAAGGAGAGTCTGCGGACCCGTATGTATTTAGACAATGTCACGCTCCATCGTACGTAAAACAAATCCGCCACAGAAGATTAACTTTCCCATCTCCCCCAACACATCCCGTTTCCCGTATTAATAGTGTATAAACCACTTAAATATATATATATAAATAAGTACGTCTGAACCAGTGACAACTCTACGACAGATTTTATCCATCGGATCACCAGTGATGGTGATACAAGGCTGAAAACAAATTCTTTATACATAATTCGTCTAAATAACAGCCCAACAATGTAAGATCTGTAAATTTGCGGAAGCAAATTTTTTGTTCTTCTTTGGCCTGGATTCGAACTCACTCTACTGAGATATCGTGACACCAAATCGCCTTTCACTATGCTCGACGCGCTAGACCACTCGACCACCTACGCTCGACAAAACAAGCTTTGGATATATATATATATATATATATATACAAGTCTAAATTGAAAACAACGTTCAAAGCTATGATTGCGTTGGATAAAAACCGCAATTTTTTTACGTGTGCATGCAAAACAAACAACATTTTCTTAAAGACCAAAAAAGTGAAAAAGTATAGTTTAACAAAACGTATTTGACTAAAAGGTCGAACAACAAATGTTCTTAAACCCTGCTGACTGCTATTGGCGATTGCCAAATAAACGGATCACCGATGTAATAAATGGATCTCAATTATAAATTTAATACTAAACAGGAAACAATAAACTTGCGGAAAAGATGGTATACCGCAAACAAAAGATGCAATAGTTTATGTACACAATATCCGGATTTCGACAATTAATGTCTCTTCGGTGATGTTAGGAATCGAAACGGTATTTAGAAAGCAATACAATTTACCTCAATTTAGGATAGACTCTTGAACTTTGAGGAGTCAAAATAGGATGAACGGAGCATATAAACCCGAAGGCAAATATAATATACAAGCCCAAACGAAAAAATATAAACAAGTCTAAATTGAAAACAACGTTCAAACCTATGATTGCGATTGATAAAAACCGCAATTTTTATACGTGTGCATGCAAAACAAATTTCTTGTTAGAGGGGTCTAAATACAGCACAAACAACATTTTCTAAAAGACCAAAAAAAGTGAAAAAGTATAGTTTAACAAAACGCATTTGACTAACACATTTGTAACAGGTCGAACAACAAATGTTCTTAAACCCTGCTGACTGCCATTGGCGATTGCCAAATAAACGGATCACTAAATGTAACAAAATGGATCTTAACTATTAATTAAATACCAAACAGAAAACAATAAACTATATAGTAGATACGTCTAAATATGTTACAACTTTACGACAGAAGTTCTCCATCGGATAACCTGTGATTACACAGGGCTAAAACCATAATTTTATACTGAATACTTGTCTCAAATTTAGCCCAACAATGCCAACATTTAGATCTGCCAATTTGCAATATATATATTTGCTTTTTTGCTTATTATCTTGAAAACTATAATAGATAGATAGAAACTTTATATAGCAAAAATGGCCAACAAGACAAGATCTACAAATAAGTCAACATAACCGAAATCATTAGTCTACTCCTTATTGAAATTATTGCCCTTTAATGATGAATTTCCTATTTTTTCCCATTTTTGCCTATTATCTTGAAAACTATAATAGATAGATAGAAACTTTAAATAGCAAAAATGGTAAACAAGACAAGATTTACAAATAAGTCAATTTGACCGAAATCATTAATCGACTCCTTATTGAAGTTATTGCCCTTTAATGACAATTTTCCCATTTTTTCTCATTTTTGCCTATTATCTTGAAAACTATAATAGATAGATAGAAACCTTAAATAGCAAAAATGATCAGCAACACAAGATTTACTATTAAGTCAGCTAGAACCAAATCGTTAGTTGACACCTTATTGAAGTTATTGTCCTTTGAGTAACGATTTTCCACAATATGCCCGAAATCTTCAGTGACACCTTATTGAAGTTATTGTCTTTTGGGTGACGATTTTCCACAATATGCCCGAAATCTTCAGTGACACCTTATTGAAGTTATTGTCCTTTGAGTGACGATTTTCCACAATATGCCCGAAATCTTCAGTGACAACTTATTGATGTTATTGTCCTTTGGGTGACGATTTCCACAATATGCCCGAAATCTTCAGTGACACCTTATTGGAGTTATTGTCCTTTGAGAGACGATTTTCCACAATATGCCTGAAATCTTCAGTGACACCTTATTGAAGTTATTGTCCTTTGAGTGACGATTTTCCACAATATGCCCGAAATCTTCAGTGACACCTTACTAAAGTTATTGTCCTTTGGGTGACGATTTTCCACATTATGCCAGAAATCTTCAGTGACACCTTATTGAAGTTATTGTCCTTTGAGTGACGATTTTCTACAATATGCCCGAAATCTCCAGTGACACCTTATTGACGTTATTGTCCTTTGGGTGACGATTTTCCACAATATGCCCGACTTATTGAAGTTATTGTCCTTTGGGTGACGATTTTCCACAATATGCCCGGAATCTTCAGTGACACCTTATTGAAGTTATTGTCCTTTGAGTGACGATTTTCTACAATATGCCCGACTTATTGAAGTTATTGCCCTTGGGTGACGATTTTCCACAATATGCCCGAAATCTTCAGTGACACCTTATTGAAGTTATTGTCCTTTGAGTGACGATTTTCCACAATATGCCAGAAATCTTCAGTGACACCTTATTGAAGTTATTGTCCTTTGGGTGACGATTTTCCACAATATGCCAGAAATCTTCAGTGACACCTTATTTAAGTTATTGTCCTTTGGGTGACGATTTTCCACAATATACCCGAAATCTCAAGTGACACCTTATTGAAGTTATTGTCCTTTGGGTGACGATTTTCCACAAT